TTATTTAAATATATATACCTTTTTTTTTTCTTTTTTGTATTAATTAATTACACAAAACTCGAGTTTCTGTTGTGGGTCAAATTGGTCCAAAGTTTGTACAAAATTTTGTTTACAAACTTTGAATCTCATAAGTTCAGCTGAAAAATTCGCGTACTAATATTTCACCTTACGGCAGTGCTCAAAATATCAAGCAAAGAGAAACAATTAATTTTGGAGTATTTTAATAGTATTTACATGAAAAATTGCTGAACATTTTACAAGTTGAATAAAGGTTCAAGGAGTATTTACAAGCTGAATAAACATTTTCCACCTTATAGTTTTTAATCTACTAAGGCTTAATTAAATAAACAACAAATACAAATGATCTAATTAAATAAATAACAGATACTAATTATCTAATTAGATAAACAACATATACTAATTATCTAACATTTGAAAGTCTAATAAATACACATGATAATCTTAGTGATTCAATAGTCATCTTGGATTTCATCCACTTCCATCATTGGACTCTCATATTGATTTTCTGGTTAAATAGATAGCTCTTCAATCTGTTTTCTTGTGGATTCAATATCGATGTTCTAATCCTCATCTTCTTTCAAAATGAAACTAACATCCTCGTTGTTCTCTTCTGCAATAATTTCTTCCCATTCTCACTCCTCATTGTTCTCTTCTGCAATAACTTCTTCCCATTCCCACTCATTATCCACAGGAGTGCTCATATTTTTCTTAACCTTTTCCACTAGTGGTTCAGCTGTGAAGATCCAAGAGCCCACTAAATCCCTAAAAAAAGAAAAAAAAAATAGAATGTTAAACTAAAATATAAGATAGTAGGGTCAAATAGTTCAAACAAAGAAAAAAATCATTACTTTAATATGATTTCTTCGTTTGTAGGGAGATCATCAAACTCTGGTGATGCCAACTTCTTCAGTAGTGGTAATATGTCTTCAGTTCTTCCAGCTGTTACAGTGGGTGAGGTAGAAGTCTTTTATGTCTTTGGCAGCAAACAGGGGACGGTTTTTTTCATTAGGAGCAGTTAGCATGGCTGTCACCAGGCCGCCAGTGCTAGTGCCGGCAATCACATCAAAATAATCTGCTATTCTTGCTTCTTCGCCATCCAGTTTCTGAACTCAAGATTACAAAAATCAGTTTGAATTGTTCATTCTTGTTGCAATATGAGCAAAAAAAAGATAATAACGTGTAATAATTGGACAAGTACTACAATTGAATGTAAAAGTTGAGAATGAAGAGATTATAACAATTGTTCACTTGTAGTAGCTACCTGAAGTTCAGACTCTAGAAAAGTAAGGATGACTCCGGGGATGATCCCCCGAATTCCACCACCATCAATACTGAGAATGGTAATAGCTCTTCAATCTGTTTTCTTGTGGATTCAATATCGATGTTCTTATCCTCATCTTCTTTCAAAATGAAACTAACATCCTCGTTGTTCTCTTCTGCAATAATTTCTTCCCATTCCCACGCCTCATTGTTCTCTTCTGCAATAATTTCTTCCCATTCCCACTCCTCACTGTTCTCTTCTGCAATAATTTCTTCCCATTCCCACTCATTATCCACAGGAGTGCTCACACTTTTCTTAACCATTTCGACTAATGGTTCAGCTGTGGTGATCAAAAAGTCTACTAAATCCCTAAAGAAAAAAAAAGAAAAGTAGAATGTTAAGCCAAAATATAAGAGAGTGGGGTCAAATAGTTCAAACAAAGAAAAAAATCATTACGTTAATATGACTTCTTTGTTTGTAGGGAGATAATCAAACACTGGTGATGCCAACTTCTTCAGTAGTGGTAATATGTCTTCAGTTCTTCCAGCTGGTGAAGCAGACCTTTTCCTTTTGCGGTCAACAGTAGTAGAATTTCCTGCTGCTTCACCGACTCCAGTCCTTTTCTCCTTTCCAACCTCTGCCATGAATTCTTCCTATGACAGAGACGATATATAAGGAAATTACTAATTAGGGTTACCTGATTTCATTTCCAATCATAAAAATTCAATACAATACAATACAAAACAGTAGAATAATAGAAAAAATGACACCTCACATACCTGAATCTTCATCAAGATAAATATGAAAAGATGGACAAATGAAAAGGCTTCTTCGCCTCAACCTGAACAATTTGATCTGTAAGAAAAAATTTCCATCTAACTGCTTGAGGAAATTTATAGCACTCGTAGAAGTACTCCTTAGATCGCGAGACATCTCGAGATCGATCGCACGACGCCCTCCCAATCCCCTTCCGACCGAAGCAGTATCGACAGTCAAGCAAAGCGAACGCCAGACTACTTTCCTACTCATACAATATATTTAATTAATTAATGGTGCCAGTTTATCCTTTCTATTAATTTTTTTGGTATTTGATAATCACCTCGATTATACTGAAATAAAATCAAGTGAAATTCATAAAAAAATAATTTATTCATTAATTAGATTTAAATTCCAAAACTTATTTTTAAAAAATTGAAGTAATTTCTTTCCGATCAATAAATCATTGCTATGGTATCAGTTTATAATAAACCTTAA